GAGCCAGTGGCTTTACTGTCCCCTGGCTCCATCATGTAGGTGGGAAAAGCGACAGTACATGAAGCAGTAATTCTTCCTCTTGCACGACTCTGTGTACAGTACGTGTGAGCAGACCTTTTAAGCATATGTGGGGTTTTTTTTCTTTTTTTGTGCAACGCAGTAGGCAAGAGCTGGCAGCGTATCGATCCCCAGCAGATACCCCAGGCTCTCCCATCGATCAGCAGAAACCCTTGAGCCTTTCAGCACAGCGAAGCGCTGACCTCATATCCCCAAAGAATCTAAACATTACCTGAATTAGCTGCCACTGAGAAATAAGAGGACTTACGCCACCACTTACAGAAATCACACAAACGGAGCCGAACAAGCTTGGCTGAGCATATTTATTGGAAGTAAAAAAACAATTAGCTTGGGTTACGGAATATCTGTTTTCAGAAACCGAGTCGCACCGCTTTTTAAATCTGAATGCATACTAGCAGATTCATAACAGCAAGGCTTTTCTCAAAATGCAGCAGCAACGTCGGCATATTTTACCTCATAAAAGGAATACAAAGTAGCATGCAGCCTGCTTTAGCTTGACATCCATGAATAAAATTCAAATTACTTCACTAAAGTCTGAGTGTGATTTCGGGCGTTTTCACAAAATTGCAACATTTGTTACAATTTTGCGGTTCGCTTTTACTCTGTCAAGCAAAAAAAATAAAATAAAACCTTTGAAAAACCCGTTTACCTCCTCGCCTGTGAGGGCGCTGGATTAAGAGCTGCTAAAGCGAAACAACACAAAACCCTCTAAAAATGTTTAAAGGTTTATAAACGTCTAAACATTCAACTTCCTTCTTTGCACAGGAAGAAGAGCTCAACTTCCTTCTTTGCAAAATGTAAACAAAATTGGAGTGGTGCCAGATTGTTGAGGTTGTAAGATTTCTCTTTTGTCTGGTGAAGAAACCACAAGCCTTTTCCACAGCGAGAGCTAGACAAGCACATTCGTTTTTTGTTTTATTTAAACTCCAATACTCTGTGCTGTAGTTCACTTCCTGCTTTTGAAGCAGCCTCTGGTTACATACGCATTCGAGTTGCTCCAACGTTCACATCAAACAAACCGAGACCTTGGATTTTACCTTGGGCCGAGACTGGAGTTTGAGTTCAATTGAGAACGAACCGACCAAAATATGTCAAAATCCTCTGCCAGCTAAGCTGACAAGCTGGGTGAGGAAGGCATTAATCGGAAAGGCAGACAAGATGCCCATCATAACCCTGAATTAAAACACATCTATTTTCACTTTTTCCTTTTTTTCTCTCACTCTCCAGTTGTGCAGTGTTTTGTGCTGGTCTGCCACACCAAATCCCAGTAAAGCATATTCAATTCTGTGGTTCGAATGTAACAAAAGTTACAAGGTGTATGAATGCGTGCATGTGAGTCAGCGACCAGTAAATATCACTGCAGCCACACAAATATCACAGTCTGATGTAATGACTGGTCATGTACAGTATGTTGTTTTCTCCTGAAGCGTTGCCTCCTGTGTAAAAGTTCTCACTCCAACACTCGCCCCCCACACACGCAGAGGGAAACTTAGAAGTAACCATGGCGACATGCGACACAGCCCACTGTGACCAATGGCACTCAAAAACAAAACAAAAATAAAAATAAAAAAAATAGACTGCACAACTCGGGGAAAGAAAATGAACCCTTTGTGCACAAAGACGCGCAGGCTCGCACCGGTTGGAGGTAGGAGGACCGGGCATCCGAGGCGCTTTCTGCCCCCGTCGGGGCTGACGAGCGGGGTGGCTCTGGCATGAACAAACTCTGCCAAGCATGTTCGCATATTCCGCAAGAAGATCCCTTGATCCCTCTGTTACTAAGGAGATGGTGCAGGAAAACCCTGCAGGCTTACAGTAGCTACAGTATCTGTGGGACAAAAGTGGGGAAACAAATGCGTTTCTGAATTTCTTTTTTTTTTTTTCCTTTAAAGCCCTGAAGCAACATTAGAGAGTTGGGTTGTTGTTTTTTTGAGGAAGCATTCTTGAGTCATTCATAAAGCAATTACTCAAACTGGATCTCCATGCATAGCCATACAAATGGCTTTCAACCCCCCTGATCTAAAAATAGCTGGACAAGGAGAAATGTCATGCTACCATCATTATTTTAACACCATGTTCCACTGTTTCAGGGTTGACTTGACACTCTATTAATGACCAGCCCACACTGCAATCTCTGCTATAAATTAATTGCATTCAAGCGACAGGATCTGACTCGCATGTTACTTCGATAATTTGTTTCTTTCCCTAATGGATTCTGTGAGGAGTTTGCTATGTCATAACAGCAGGCAGCTGGAACAAAGAGCAAGTATTTGATATTTGTTTTCCCATGAGGATACCACATGCCTGAGATGTAAAGGGGGAATACAGACAAATAATGTAAATAGATGAAATGATGATAAACCTATTTCCATCTTTTTTTTTTTAAATTTGGACATGGATCCTGTGGAAGCCCACAGCAACGACAAAAACAGAAGAGGAAAAAAAACTCAAATGTCACAGCTACATGAAGGTCCACATTCCTCAAACAAATACTTTGTTTTAACCATCTTTTTTATCCAGTTTCAACATTGAGTTGTCATGGACACACACCTTACATCAATTAAAAGGGAATTTGACGAACCAGAAATAAAGTTCAGCTGTCCCTGTAGGATTTTCATGACATTTGCAGTATATAGCTAAAGCTATAATTTGCAGAGAAGTTACAATGATCGGAGGGATGTGGTTGTGCAAATGCATCAGTCAGGAGCTGGGTTTAAAAAAAAAAAATTTAAAAATCACCAAAGCATCCGTTTTTTGATGCGACTACCATTTTAAAATCTTTTATTGTACAGTTTAGCCATGCACCGATATGAAAATCTGAATCAACATCGATGTCCGATGTTGGTGTTGCTTCTTATTTACAAATATTGTATACATTTTACAACTTTTTTTGACATCTCGAAACCAAAACAAGCACATTGCTGACTTTCCCACCGTCTCAGTCACACTCCCAACAATCCTGCGTCATATCACCACCAAGTAATTGTGACATGTTCGCCTTTGGAATCAAACGGCAACAAGTTGGAAATAAATATCGTTTATTAATATCAAGCACAGTTGAATTTATCGAACTGATGCAGACGTAAAAATAAATAAATAAATAAATAAAAATCAAAGAAATTAAACTGATGTTAGTGCCAAGATATTCTGCATCACTAATATATTTACTTTAAGAAGTAGGACTACAGAACAGGAGATAATCAATCGATTTGGATTTTGGCCAGCACCGATTCATTTTTAGCTGCTGAATATAGCAACAAAGTTGCTAAATAGATATCTATGGGGCTCACATGCAGACGTGACCTGGTCCGTCAGTCAGCCCTCGTTCATGGCAGAGTATCTGTGCTTTATAGACCTTGGTGGAGGTAGATGAGATCGATGGACAATATCAGTTTCACTTAACATCCAGTTAAGGCACTTACTTGCATCATATTTATTAAGATATTTTTACAGAAAAGAATGACAAAAGTTTACATTGGCTAAAACTTTGCAGGAGAATAACCGATTTTCAAATAGTCACCATAACAACATAGGGCCCCACCAAAGCTGCACCGGACCCACAGCAAAATGTGGTGGTAGTAAAATGATCTGGGATCGTTTTTCAGCAAACTAAGAAACACCAAGAATACCAGTCAATTCCACACTGAAAACATTTAGGTGCCTGCGAAGGAGTTGAAAGAGTTACACATTTAGATCCACAATAACATTCTATTAAGATAATTGCCTTAAAAATAAACTTCAGGGTTATCATACTGCGAGGATTTAATGCCACTCTAAGCCGACATTCAGGTTTTAGTTCAGGCAGGTCAGCAGTTTTTAATGTAAACAACAAGAGGATGTGGGGACTCAAAACAACGTCTGTCAGGCGAATGTGCGCCTGTTCAAGCAAGAGGCCAGTTTTCGCTTGAGCTTCCAGGAAGTGGACTTTTAGAGTCAGTTTTCAGGAACTGTTCCCAACCTGGAGATACAAGTGCTTACTTCTTGGACTGAGACCTAAATTTCCTTAATTACAAAATGACACTTGATATGATCATAGCTGTTTTTCTTTTCTTTTCTTTCTTTTCTCCCCCCCCCCACCATTTTTATTTCAATTTAGTGAACAGAATCAGAATTGCCATTTGCCAAAGTGATCCCTGGATCTGCGTTTCGTAAGCGATCCGTCTCGTTACTGAGCAAATCCAAAGATTCACCCATTAAATTTCGCCGTTTATCTAAACGATACATAAGGTAATGCTGATTTTCAGTATGTGAATGCATTGGATAAACTAATGTAAATGCAATGAGTGACAAAAAAAAAAGTAGTAGGGGTTCTCCTGATAAAAGTACACTGTTGGTTAAAATAAGTAAAACCTACAATAAGGAGGGAAAAAAAAGAAGCACTCTTCTATAAACCATCACTTTGACACTTAGCAGCATCAACAAGCCAGTGGAGCGAATGGAGTCTCCCTCCACAGGTGGGTTTCTCTAAAAAACCAGTGGAAGGGGTCACGACATCACGCTTTCCTCAGGAATGACCCCCCTGAACCGGAAACTCCCCCAACCCACCTAAACTGAGTCAAATCAAACTTGAAGCCGTTAAAAAACGTGACAAATACGAGCCTTTCTGACAACTCTTAAACACGAAATAGTTCAGCTAAAATGCTGACTTTAGTCAACATAAACGACTGTTTATTTCATCATTATATCCCAGTCGTCATTACAAGTCGGGTTTTTCCCCCTCCCGTCAGACCTGAACTCGCTTTATGGCAAACAAAATGGGTTCGATACAAACTTGCCAGAGTCGTAAAGCAAATAAAGTCTACAAGCAGCGTGGACGTTTTGGGGTTTTTGTTGTTGTTGTTGTTGTTGTTGTTGTTTTTTCCCCACAGTGTTAGGCTGTCAGACAAAAAATAGCGAAAAACAACAATTAAGAGCCGCGCGCCTACCTGCAGGACACCGCGATTTCAACTTTGGTGGCAGGAATGGACGGGTTCAGCGGGTCGAAGTCGCCTATCGACGCCATGTTCAGGAAAGTGTTGTTCATGGTTTCAGTTTTTTTCCAGAGGTTTTCACTTCCTTTCCGTTCCTTCAGTTCTGCCCGCGTTTCTTCGCCGTGCGCGCGCGCGCCTCCTCGCCGAGAAGTGGAGCAAAGGTGTCACGGAGGAGGAGAAGCAATGAGGAGCTGGGGAATGTGATGTCACTTCACTCTTTCTCTCTCCCTTTCTCTGTGCGCTCGCCTCCCCTACCTCCCCTGTTTCCTCAACCTCCCTCTCCTCCTCCCCTCTTTTCCCGGCGACTTGTATTGAGCCAATTGAAATTAACAGTGGCCACAATCAGCCAATAAATCAAACGGGATTCTATGAGCACGTGCCTGTGCGTGTCACACCAGTTCGGTTCATTTTGAGTCGGATCCAGTCAAGGCTGCTGGCCGGGAGCCCCAGTTGCCACGTTCTCCAGGGCCGGCGCCACGTTTTTTAAGAGACCCAGGGCAACGATGCCCTGCTGCCCCCCCTGAACGTCATTTCGCCTTCCGCTAGACCCCTTGACCTGTACAGGAAATGACATGGGGTATGGTCAGAGTTGATGTTGGGCAGCAATAGGTGGAAAACGAGGCGATGAGTTCTCTTTCAAGAAAATGCAGCAGGGTAAAAAAAAAAACTATTCTTACTTAAATAGCTATGAAAAAAAGTTTGGATGTTCTAATATTATATGACCAGGTTAAAAATCTGAGTATGAAGAGAGCACTGTAAAAATGGAAAAATAAAGGAATTATTTTCCACATGATGGATTTGTCCTGTGTAGAGATTGAATGGAGGCTTTTTATTAGTTTGGAAATGCTGATCTTGAACGGTTTAGTGAGCGGCTCATTTGAAGAGACTTTTTTTGTAAATAATTTTTAGCAGACAACCATCCAAAACAGCGTCCTAAGAACTTTGGATCACCCACAAGTGCTTGGTTTAGATTCTTTGTGGTTTGTAAATCTTAAATCCTAAAGAAAATACTTTTACATAGGTCAACTTTGACACTGTTCATCAGTTTACTTTAAAAAGCACCTTTGTCTGTGGCATTTTCTGGTTTTTCCAGTAAATTCACAAGTTCTTTATAATCACCGAGAACACTGATGCAAAGATTTCTACCATATGCTCTAGAAACTCAGAGTTCCCATTCTGTGCCCATCCCTGGGCATCGGAACCAGAACACTCTTTTGCAGGGAATAGAGTGACACCAAAATGTATGTTGAGAAATGTTGGCGTGTCACATTATGAGGATGTTGTGTTTTCACGAGGAACTTTCCTGGGAACATCCATGGGGCAACAACCTTGGGGCAACAAACCCCAAGGTTTGTCTTTCCATGTTTGTTTGCATACAAGTAAACAAAGAGAATGTGGAACATGAACGGATTAAACGAAAGGACAAAAACAAAGAGCTCACTAATTGTAATGTCATCAGAGAATAACAAAAACAGAATTTTTTCTTTTCCCGGGGTTTTTGTTGGACCTCCAAAAGAATTAAAAAATTTTAAAAATCCTTAAAAGAATTTTGAAAAAAAAAAAAAAACACACACACACACAGCAACCGCATGCTGCACCAGTTTTTGAGTGTCTGGGTTATGTTTAGACAATAAAGTCACTGAACGTTAATATAAAACATCCCCTGCATTACTCAGAGTGTTTACCGGACAACTGCGTTTCTATATATAGCCGTCTCACACGCTCTCTGACACGCCCTGGGTTTGATGAGTAGCGCGGCGGTGGTGAAAACCATTACAGCACCTTTGGGCAAACATCATGCCCCCGCCCTCTGTCCATGTGGGGGCGGATGAGTTCACTCCTTGTTGCTCACACAAGAGGCCAGAAAATTAGCATGGACTCATTGGCTTACTGTATATATGCATCACTGTCGCAAGTCTCATTCCCAAAGAGAGGGAAAAAATATATCACATAAAAATGATGGAATCATCCAGCCAGTCAAGACAAGAGGGGGTTGTATGGGTAACACAGACCTCCCTATGCCCAGGGACAATATTTGCCTGTAATTCACAGGGAGACGTCAAGGTATTTGAACTCAAGTTCTTGAGGGGAAAATCTTTCTCCAAACTTTTTTCATACCAACAACCGTTGCCTCCATCTTCATCCTGGTGCTGTCACGTTCAGCCTCAAACCACACGGCCAGAAAGACGTCAACAACGTAACATTACGACCTTGCCAAACCAGAGCGACTTTTCCACAAACATAACTCGAGATTCACCAAGAGAAGGACTGGGAATAAGTCCTTAGGAATTCCATCCTACACTATAAATAAACTCGACTTTGTGTCGACGCATTTCTTTTTATGGGGTGGTGCAAGGACCAGATTGTCCTTAAAAACACTGAGGGACACGACCAAACAGCCCCTAGAGCCATAAAGCACATTTGAACTGGCTAACCAAACTCACATGATCTCAAGAATTCTGCATCATTGAAGATCTGATCCACTATTCTAGCATGAAAACAAAACCACCCCTCCTCGGTCCAGGGTTGCATAACTGATTGGAGCATCTACTCCAGGGGTGAGCAATTCCAGGCCTTGAGGGCCGGTCTTCTGCAACTTTTGGATGCATTTCTACTTCAACACACCTGAGTCAACTCTGGAGAACTTGACTGCAGAACTCTGGAGAACTTGACTGCATTTAGGAGGTGATTCAGCTATTTGCTTCAGCTGTGTTGGACCAGGGAGACAACTAAGAGTTGCAGGACACCGGCCCTCGAGGACCAGGATTGCCCATCCCTGATCTACTCCAACATGCTAGGTTGAGCTTTGGGAACACACTCTGCAATCCCCTTTCTTAAACAACAGGCCAGCCACTCCATTTGGCAGTCCCCAAGTGTCATCATTGCTAAAATCAGGCCCTGGGAGCTATAGCAAGAATCGAGTGGCCAGTCTTTCCTGGTAAAGTTTAGCAATCGGCAGCTCTGCTCGTCAAGACAAATTTTCCAAAACACCAAAATTTCTTAGTTTATACCTCAATTTACACCCAAGCACATGCAAACACAGTAAATAGCATTTATTCAGTGAGAATTTCACTTGTTTTAAAAGTTATTCGATTGTACTCACCCCTGTTTGTCTCCGAGTCCAGACACTCCACCAAGGACAGGTGTCTAAGACGAGCAGCCAAGCACTTCCTGTTTTTATGAGGGTCATGATGTCATCGATGTCATCACTGGGCGCAACAAAATGTGGGTTTATTTTGTTTGTATGGGACTATTTGTTGTTGGGAAAGTAACCTTCTGAGCTACACCGAATGGAGTGCTGTATTTCAAAACTCATTTCTCAAGGGAGTTGTTAAACTTGATTAACAGTCAATACTCCTGTTCATTTCTATGTTTTTTTCTCGGTTGCATTGTTTGGTTTTACCCGTTTTCTGATGGTACAAACACCCGACGGGCATTTCACACCAGTGAGACTTTGGAAAACAGGGGGCTTCAGCTGGAGACATTGGAAGAGATTTTTTGAAAAAATGGTTTCGCTTTCCTTGCAAACGAAATTGTCAGAGAAAGCAAATCGGAAAAAAAGAAGAAACTCCAGAGCATTGTCACCTGCATTGTTTTGGAGGAAGCAAAACATCACAGGAACCTCAATGTGAAACTCCTACTGCACAAACTGAAATTTTTGAGTACCGTAGTTTGTTTCAGCAGAATGAACTTTATTCCTCAATTTTGTGATTTAAAAAGAAAATTCACATATTTAGATTCCTCCACAGCTCACCCATGCCTAATCATTGCCTGGGCAGAGATGATGTAGCATGGTGCACTCACTCGTTTCCTCAGTTCAACGGCAAAACCGCCTTGATTTAACAGGCACTGACACCTACATATTTATTACTGATGTGCAATTATATGGAGAGATCGGCTGCAGACAGTTCCATTCCTAGAGCACCATCCTGTCAGCTGGAGCACACACTTGACCTGTTCACTGTCAGCCGTTTCTCTCTCAATAATACCCCCCCACCCTCACACCTGATCATCAGTATTCACATCCCACCTCTTTCTTCCCGCTCAGTCTTTGCAAATGAACGTGAAACGGTGAATTAGGGACAGATGCCGGGACTTAAAAAAAAAAGATGAAGAAGATGAAATGCAGTCCTCCAATTTCACGCTGAAATCCTTTCAGAGACGTGTCACTGATGCTGCTCTCTCGCATCTGTGTTGGGGGACAGGGGTTGGACTTTGGGAGAGCAGCGCCACGGCTCATCGGCTCAAGCGCCGGTATTTTTAGGAGGAGGATTCGCTCGGGGAACTTCCCTTAACCACCAGTCGGCTGCGGTCGCAAAATGGTCGCCACGGCTCGTCATCCCAGAATGAAAAATTCAGACTGACCTTTGTCTGCAATTACTTGTCGATAAGCACCGCCCCCTTCCCCGGCCCCCACAGCATGATGCTGCCACCACCATGGGACAATGTGTTTGGGGCGACGTGCAATATTACTTTTAGATCACAAGTAGCGTTTCGCTTGAAGTTTGAAATGCACAATTTTGGTTACGTACGATATATTAACTTTGATGTTTCACATGAATCCACTTGATGTTCATATTAAACCGTTGATAAATGTGACAAAATGTGAGAAAAGAGGTGGCAGAAACAGTTTAGCAAGGTTTAGCTTCTCCCAGCCTCTGGCAATACCTGCAACACACGAGTGCCGAAAAGCATCAAAGTACGAGACGAAGCCAAATCTCCTCCTCCATCGTTTCACACAAGGAAAGAATCGGTATTGATCGTATTCAATGCGAATGCCTGCAGCGGTGCAGCTCCTGCTGGAAAGGCAGACTTAACGGTGAAACAAGGTCATCTGGTTAGACCAAAGGATCACCAATTCATGTGTCCACTGAACAGACTTGGGGGGAATATATTATCCAAAAACACTGTACACTGCGCCATCATTAAACTGGAAGGGAAACTTTCAGCCCACGCAGGCTGTCTGAGAAAGAGTTATTGATTTCTTTAAAAAACTGATGGTAAAGATTATGTTTCAGGAGAAAGGCCATTATGTAGTTCCTCCACATACCTAGAAAAAAAGTTGCCAAGGTACAAAACCTGGTAGTTTTCTAGTTAGTTAGTGCATTGTTCCCCACCCCCCTCATTATTTTCTATTATTTTTACATTTCTTCTTACTTCTACTCAACTTTCTATGAGGACGAGATAACTTTTTTTCACAACATTCCAATTTTGCGAGACATCAGATTTTTGGGT